GGGTTTAGGGGTTTAGGGCCCTAAACTTGAAATGCTGCACCCAAAGCGTATATCCTGACCCGATAAGTATTCAGTTTTACATCCCAGCCCTTATCCGAATACCCGAAGTGCAAACCCAGGCCTGAACCCACAATCTCAACTCCTGAGCCCTATGCACCCTACCCTCCAAGCCTTATAGCCTTAGCTCTACTGTTGATGATACACATCCTGCATTACCTTAACAACCCTATACTTTGGGAATTATGGGTATATTCCTTATCATGCGTGGTTCTGTCTCATCAACAGTATCAGTGCCGAGCGGGTACTACCCAAAGGCCCCATAGTAGTTCCTTTTTGGGGCTACCTTATAATAGGTTTCTATATATGAACCCCCAAAAAGGAACTACTTAAGGGCCTATGGGTAGACAAACGATAAGACTGCCGAGCCTTCGAGACCTGGGGCCCAAGAACCAGAGCTGGCCACACTTGGTGCCCCTAAGAACCTCGGTTTAGGGTTCAGGGTTTAGGGTTCCCAGAGACTCCAATATCTCTTAATTAAGGAATATACCTTAAATCACATGAAGGATCCGATTATATTTTAATGGATATTCCTTAATTAAGGGCTATTGGAGTCTCTATGTTTAAGGGTACCCCTTACTGACAAGGCCACAGGGTGCGCTACAGAGTCTCTAAACCCTCGGAAGACGTAGTACAACCCTCTGCACTCCACACTGCAGCAGACAAGCCTAGTTAATGCAACTCATCCAGAGTCCTATGAGTCTCTTCCGGAAATTAGGGGTTTAGGGTTTAGGGTTTATGGTATGCCCGGTAGCGGCGTAGCGATCTGCACAAGCATCATACAACCCATCAAACTCTTGCGCTTCTAGTGGCATGACTTAAGCTTCATAAGTCCCTATAGATATGCATTCACAAGCCGGAGAAAACACGCACCGCTGCAGAAAACCTGCCGAACCCATCTGGAAGGAAATCAACACCCTGTAGAACTTTCATAAATCCTAAGAGTCCTATAGGGGTAGTTCTCTAAATTAGGGTCCCTTTTATAGTACGGCACCCTTAGAAAAAGGACCCT